GAAGCTTGTAATGATATAAACTTAGAAATATTTTAAAAAAAGTAGAATTATTGGAGCTTAAAATTTATCATATATATTCATTTGTTTTTTTTTTCGAAGAAAAAAAATTCAATATGGAAATGTTGCTTATGATAAGATTTAAGGTTTCATAGCATTGACATCGAAAGCAAGCGCTAGCTTTAAATGTAGATTCTAAACTCATTCAATGTAATGCCAGAAAAATATGATTCTTCCACAGATGGGGAAAATTCCAAAGTAGTCAAATTTCCATTATAATCGTAATTTTCAAAACTCGAGTAATGAATTATTTCATCATATGTAGAAGGTATTAAAATGTTTTTTGATGCACAATTAGACTGTGCTTGTATGTTAAATTGTTCTGTTGTATTTGCCACATTATCACGGAAAGTTAAAGTTTCAGCGGCTTGTTTATTATGCGATATTATAGATTGAACAGATAAGGTTTCGTCTGAAAGATCGACCGAATCGGCTTTTGAAGGAGAGAGATTATTAGGTTCTACGCTAGCAAATTCATTGGTCGGTGAGTTTTTTTCGATATATTCAGATATCAATTCGGTCTTACTTTCTCCGCTTATGATTTTATCGCGACGAACATATGGTTTTTTTTTGAATTTAGAATCTTCATAATGAATCCATTTTTTGTTATAACGAGGTTTCGAAGTGGTAAAAGAATAATTCGAACAAGCTGCAACTTCTTGAGCATAACTTTTAAACACTTCTTTTACAGCATCAGGCTCGGCTTTCCATTTCTTAGAAACTAATTTCGAAAGCTTCTTCATTTCATAGAACATTCCATTTAAATTCATCTCTTTTACAACAAGTTTACGATATATCATAAAACAATTCACGGACTTTTTCATTGGATTAACGAATTCGGAAACATTAGCACCAGATGGCGATGGAACTTTCAAATCTTCGATAAATTTTATGATGGATGCAATTTCAGTATCAGTTGGCAATTTTGATTCGCTCATTTCATCAAAATTTGATTGTTAGTTCGCGTAGTTTGAATACTTCACCAGATCAAAACTGTTGCTTCTTTTATATATGTTTTCATTATTATACTGCAAAAATACGGACAACACACTCCTTCGCATCAAACACAATTGCGAAGTAAATTTCCTATTAATGGAAGATATAAACTCCTCGAGACATTTTCGTTAAATTCATGTCTTGATTTGGTAACGTTAAATAAAAGTGAATTGAGGATATTCTATTGACTAATTGTGATATTGATTTGCCAAAAATTTCGGATCATCAATTTATTGCTTAATTTAGTTAGAACTTTGTATTAATAATGATATATGCAAGTTTATGTCTAGATAGAACTTCCCATGTTCTTTTCTTCAATTATGTAATGTTGCTCCTGTATT